GCAGGAGCATTCACTTCCGGGTTTTCCCATCCGAACTGGCTTGGACCACGGCACTAACAGTAGCATGGCTACAGGCGCTCTTGAGTGGGGGGGAACTTGACGGGAGCCCCATTTCCTCGCCGGGCGCCAGAGTGGAGCGTGGGCATCTCCCTTGGGTGTGCAGCCTCTCCCGGGGATGCTCAGTGCCACAAAGAACACAATCAGGGTGGCCCCCACAATCTGCTTGCACAAACACCATTGGTTTTGCTTCCCCAAGAGCCTTTGGCTGACTACAGAGGAGGCCAAAAAAAAGGACTTTTTCACCCTTTGTTGGTTTTCCTGCTTAAAAATAAATAAATAAATGGTGATGTGGTCTTTTAATCAATGGCTGTCAGCCTCGACAGCAGAGCGTCAGATATGCAGAGCAAACCACAAGGAGCAGCTTAGGGAATGCACCAGCCATCTAAGGTGTGCACGGTGAGCATCTGGACTAGGTGACTGTAGCCTTTGCAGATCCTATCCCCTCCCAGTCAAGATCCCTTAGTCCAGGGGTAGGCAACCTTGGCTCTTTTATGACTCGTGGACTTCAACTCCCAGAATTCCTGAGCCAGCCTGGCTCAGCTTGGAAACCTCTCCCTTTCCCCTCAGCGTGGCTAGCTCAGGAATTCTGGGAGTTGAAGTCCACGAGTCATAATAGAGCCAATGTTGCCTACCCCTGTCCAAGGATGCCACTGAAGGACCCAATGTTGGGTTTAGACCAGGGGTAGGCAACCTTGGCTCTTTTATGACTTGTGGACTACAACTCTCAGAATTCCTGAGCCAGCATGGTTCAGCTTGGAAACCTCTCCCTTTCCCCTCAGCATGGGTGGCTCAGGAATTCTGGGAGTTGAAGTCCACGAGTCATAAAAGAGCCAAGGTTGCCTACCCCTGCCTTAGTCTAATGATTCTCAAACTGTAGTCCATGGAAACTGGGGAGTGGGGGGGGGGGCGCGAAGTCACAGGATGTCCATGAAGGCTTGAAGAAATGTTATGATTTAAATCTTAAGTCTTGGAGGTCTGTGGCCGTAGTCTGTGCCACAAAAGGTATTTAAATGGGGTCCGTGGTGAAGAAAAGACTGAGAATCATTATCCCAGTCCAATAGCCACAAAGATGGCAGGGCAGCCTGGATGCCAGTGGAACAGCAGTAGCCAAGCTGGGTTTCACACTTTGGAAGTAGCAATCGCGCTTAGACTTATATACCGCTTCATAGTGCTTTACAGTGCTCTTTTAGCGATTTACAAGGTCAGCATCCTGCCCCCAACAATCTGGGTCCTCATTTTACCAACCTCAGAAGGATGAAAGGCTGAGTCAACCTTGAGCCGCTCGGGATCGAACTCAGGCTGTGGGCAGAGTTTGCCTGCAATGCTGCATTCTCACCACTGGGCCACCATGGCTCTTACGTTGACTCTCCTGGACGCCCTGAGGTCAAAAATAGTGGCAAAAGCCAAGACCCTCTCCAGGAAGCCCCTCCCTCCTGGTGAAACGGTCTGGGGTATCCAGCGTCCAGAGGATGCTGACGAAGCTTCCACAAACGCCCTTCTTTTTCATGCGACGTTGTCTCCCTTCTCTCACCTCTTCTTCTCTCTTCTTCTCTCCCTCCCCTTGCTGGGTCCTGATGCTGCCTTTGGCCTCAAAGGTTCCCGGGGGTCGGATGCCAGCCCCTCCCACTTGTCCCCCGGCAGCTCTGCTACCACGCCGGCCCCCGCAGAAGAAATCTGGGTGCTCCGCAAGCCCTTCGCAGGTAGGAGGAGGAGGAGGAGGGCAAGGGGACCTGCTGGCCACAGGGATCCAAGGGGCACAGAAGTAGAACCAGAATAGAGCTGGAAGAGACCTTGGAGGTCTTCTAGTCCAGCCCCCTGCTCAAGCAGGAGACCCTAGACCAGGGATAGGCAACCTTGGCTCTTTTATGACTCGTGGACTTCAACTCCCAGAATTCCTGAGCCAGCAGAGCTGGCTCAGGCATTCTGGGAGTTGAAGTCCACGAGTCATAAAAGAGCCAAGGTTGCCTACCCCTGCCCTAGACCATTCCAGACAAGTGGCTGTCCAGTCTCTTCTTGAAAGCCTCCAGTGATGGGGCACCCACAATGTCTGAAGGCAAACTGTTCCCCTGGTTAATTGTCCTCCCTGTCAGGAAGTTTCTCCTTAATTCCTGGTTGCTTCTCTCCTTGATCAGTTTCCACCCGTTGCTTCTTCTTTTTTAAAATATTTTTTATTGAGTAAACATTTAAAAACAGGTTGAACACAGTGTGGCTTTTCTGGCTGTTATTTTGCCACACATACTATACCATATACCATATATCTCCCTATTCATTGATGTTTTATACCATTTACATATTGCATTTTATACTATTTACATATTTATATATTTACATACATATTTACGTCTATTTACAACATAACTTCCATTTCCATTCTTGTTTCATATTCTTTCTAATCTCTATCTTACGTTCACCTTGAGGTTGAAAATCTACACTTTCTCTCTTCTAGACGAGCTTTCTTTGTTCTGACTTTTTCTCCTCGAGTCTAACCATCCGTTGCTTCTTGTTCTGACCTCTGGTGCTTTGGAGAATAATGTGACCCCCTTTTCTTTGTGGCAGCCCCTCAAATGCTGGAATACTGCTATCATGTCCCCCCAATCCTCCTTTCCTCTAGACTGGCCATCCAGAGAGGCTGGCTGGGGCAATGGGAGGGGTTTTTTTTCCCCCTAATGGGAGGCAGTGTAGGGAGTTTCGGCAGGGGCTGGCTGATGGGGAGAGGCAATAGAGCAGAGTAAGGTGGGGTGCGTCATGGAGGACTATTGTACCAGCCATTCCTCAAGTAGGCAAAACTGGAGATTAGAGGGGCCTTTTCTGTCTCTTGGGGGGGGGGACAAGCACAGCCCCTGGCTTTAGCATCCCACTATCCAACCTGAAGCTGTACAAAGTGTAGGATGGCAAGTCAGGACCCCGGAGAAGAAGTCAGGAAGAGCTGCAGCTTGGAAAAGTTTCTGCCTCCGAATGAAGTTTGTGAATTGGGATAAAGTGCTGCCAGGTGCCTCGTTGCACCCGGTTTTCCACCTTCGATGTCTATTTAAAGAAAGCAGCTTTACGGAAAAGGGAACATTTTAAGATATCCTACAGTAAAGGAGGATAGGATTGCATTAGCAATTGATGGGGGAATTTTTCCCTTGATATATTTAAGGCTTCAAGACCCTCGAAGAGTGTTCGGTTTAATGGGGTTTTCTGAACGGAGATTTTTGGGTCCATTTGCCTGTTTTGGTTGGACAGCAATTTTACATGCACCCCTGTTATCTGGTGTTTGCCCTGAATTTCAGCAGCATGATAGGGGTGGCCAGAAAACAGGCGTGCAGGACCCCACCTGGTCCTTGGTTGCGGGTGCCAGTCCTGAGCAAAGCCACCCGTCGTAGGACGGAGCTGTCCTCGCTTTGTCCTGCCAACCTCTCCCTGCCCCCCGCTAGGAGGCGACCGCAGCAGCGTGGGCAGCACTGGAAGCATCGCCAGTGGACGGAGCTCGGGCAGTGGCCAGAGCACGGGAAGCGGAAGCCATGTGGCCCTTCACCCCAGTTCAGAAGGCGTGAAGGTAAGCCTGAGTCCCTGCTCCCCAGAGGGCTGGATGTGCCACGGAGCTAAATCCGGAGCTCTCCAGCCCACCAGCTGGCCCAAGTCTCACCCGATGGCCCAGGTCTAGTTGTA